TGACAGCACAATAAGCAAATATGTAACGAATTATCGGGATGTATATTCTCGTAGAGTAAGTAGCTAGAACGTTCATCTAAAACTGGAGGATCCATGGCTTGAATCCCGGAAAAGGCACAGTAAAACGTTAACATTTCCTACTGCAAAAGCCTCAGTGGTCTCTATATATACACGTTAGCTTGATTTTGAGGGAAAAAATAATGATAAAAAAGTTCTCAAGTCTTAATAATTAATTTTATAGAACCTTGATGCTGAGAACTGCTTAAAGCTGAAGGGAAAATTTACTTTTAAATTAAAGAATAGTTACCTGTTTATTAATATTTATATTTTTTTAATTATTAATTATTATTTAATATTTTTTTTTCTTTCTCTCGATAACATGGTTTGGTTTTTAAAATGTTTTTCTTCATTTCTTAGCGATATTTAATCTTAGGAATTTTGCTTTATATTTAAAACTGCTAAATGAAAGCTCATCAGATGTTTAAGTGAGATTCATTCATTCTCCATTCAGCAAAAGAACTTCCATTTGTTAACAGACCGCCAATTATTTGAACGTTTTGACGTTTCATGAGATGTTGCTGAAGAAATGGTGCTAATAAAAAGAAGAGTGATGAACAAATGAAGATTTTGAAACCAAGAGCAATTAGTAGCTACAAATAAAAATTAACACTATCAATTATTACAAGAATTAAGTATTTTTCTAAAGAAACAATAAATTGCCTTTGAGCAGTGGTTTCAAACTGGCAGCTTGCGGGCCACCTATGGCTCCCTAATCAATTTTATGCAGCTCTATATTTCTCGTAAATTAATTAATATCATTATGATAAGATTTTGAAGGAAAAGTTTAAGATTTTAATGGTTTGGAGTACAATTTTGCGTTATTTTCTTTTCTAAAAACGGACGTTAGTAACGCTTCATAAAATCTATGAATGGAACGAATTAACTTACACTAAGATTTGAAGATGCAGATTTAATTAACTTTTATTAGTACTTTTCAAAAGATAAATTTCCTCAATTACGAAGTTTTGCAATAGGAATGATCGTTTTATTTGGGAGTCTTTTTACAAGTTAACAGTTTTTTCCACAGTTGAAAATTAATAAATCTACGAAAAGAACCAGATTTCCGATGAGTAGCTATACCCTATGATGAAGATACTTTTTAGTAACTTTCCTCCAAAGGTACAAAATTTGTGAACATCGAAACAGTATGAGATGTTGTAGCCGAAAGGAGTGGGAAGAAACAAAGTACATACAAATACGTATTTTCCTGTTTTCATCATAGAAAAATATAATAACTAAAAAAAGAATAGGTTTTCCTTATTTGTTCTCAATATTTTCCCTTTTGAGAAGGTTTCGTGTATTTGTTTCTTTTAAGTTAGAACTAAGCCATTTAGCGGTTGCTTCAATATATTTCAATTATTTGAATAAATATCAGTCTGAGAATCTTAATATTTAGCTGTCAATACGTTTGAATTGCAAATTACGACCAACAGAAATTTCTTGTTCCAACTTCAGGCAGAAAATGAGTATACATTTCATTTTTTTATTCATTTTTATACGTATGTTTTGACAAATGTGTAGTAAAAATGTTTTTAAATTTCGATTACAAAACTTAGTAAAAAATTCTTTTTTCTTTTTTTTTTTTTTACTTATTTCGGCCCCTCAGCTGCTTTCAGATCGTGCATTTGGCTTGATGCTATATGAGTTTTAGACAACTGCCTTAGAGATTAAGACCGGTGTCAAGTATGAGAGCAAGACAAACCAGGTGTAATCTTTCTAACATCCTGCCATCTAGATAGCATGACATATTGTTAAAATTGGGCAAGGAAAGCAATATCAGATTGACGCATACTTTTGTTAGCGCTCAATATCGTAATTTAGCTCTTTCAATAAAACTCAGTTCCATTTTGTCTTTTTTTTCTCTAAACCGTTTTATTACGAAAATGGTTCTTTCTTCTCACCTATCCAAAATGTATCTAGTACTAAAAGGGCTGTATGTCAGGTCCCTCTCAAAACTTCTAAGACTTACTGAAGACCTACTCCAATGGTAAAAGGTGGCAATAGCCTATATTTTTATGCTACATTAGCCTGTTTATCTTCGAATAAGATAAATGCGTACAGTTTAGCAATAGGGCGGCTGAAATAGGCTGATGTTAATGAAGTCTAGCAAGCTGTTTAAATTTATTATTTATCGCATCCTGTAATTGTGACATATGAATCAGGAAAAGCACAATAAACACAGAGTAAAAAGATAATTAAGCGGAAACGTATCTGTCCTTAAGAGCGGAAACGTAAAGTTTAAAATTCTGTGCAAGGATTCCAGTGTCTTTTTTTACTAGTTAGGTACTAAATACAGAAACATGCTTTAGAATAGCAAATCAGCAGAAACTATACCCGGATAGTTAAACACATAAAACGCACTATATACTGCAGGCTGCTTGGTTGAGAAATTATACTACAGTTAAGATACTATACAAGAATACCGCCTAATCTCAAAAGAAAGAAGAATTTAAGTACAATAAATATTCGTCGCGAAGAAATTGAATCTTCTCGCTCTTGTTCTAAATTTAGTTCCACCTTAAAAAAAGTATTTTCTAAAAAGAGAATTCATTATCAAATTTTGTAAACCGTGAAATATTATATATATTTTACGAGCCGTTATAGCTTTTGACTGCAATCCTTAGATACTTTCGTCTGATACTTTATAGCAGGCAAAAACCGCTTGTTAAATGTGCCCTAATTTCCTGTTTTCCCATTTCTGTAACTTTATAACATTTTGAATTCTTTCTAACATATATGTATAATGAATGTGAAAATAAAACTAAAAATAGGTATATGTTAAGTATGGTATGCCAGGCAAACGAAGTCATAGAATTAATTATGAATGTTTCCGAAATTTTGATTTGCGTTTCTTATAATAATGCTTTTAAAAATTTATATTAAGCAAACAATTAATAGTTAATTCCATTTAATAACTAAATTAGCTTACATGTATTTAAATATTCTAAAATTTTTAATGCGATCCACCAATTAAAAAATTAAAAAATTCCTGAGTTATTCAAGTTTATAATTAATTTTTCTGACGGAAAAGTAAGAAATATATTATGAAAATTTTAAAACTATAATGTTTAAAAATTCTAAATTTAACAAAGTGCTCCAAAACTATATTTAAACAAATAACGGCCTAATTCAGCAAAATTTTCATTAGCCTTTCTCATTCAATTCTCATTAACTTTTTTCACAAATTTAAGTCCATCCATACTAAAACATAATTTTATTTGTATTTTCTTAATTACAGATAAAACTCTAAAGAAGAAACTTAGAGTTCCATTTCCATATGTAGATGAATAATATGTCAAAGCAATCGTGATCCATTTTGCAAACTCATACAAAATAAATTATTTGCATAACAGGGAAAATTAAAGAAATAAATTTTCCTTCAACATGCATTAAATTATACGTACGCCGCATACGGATATTTTTGACGAGGGTAAATAGGCGGAATTTATAAAAGACGAAATTACATTTTCTAAATTATTAAAAATAACTTTCTCTGCGCGACTGAATAGATAACGTCAGACATATGAGAACAGATGAAACGTTATGCCAAATTTCATTTTATTTTGAAGATAATAACTTTAGAAATATTTTTGAATTCATGTTTCAGAATAAGTATTCGGCGAAAATACTATGTTGCGTCTGTAGTTGGCGTAACATTAGAAATCTTCGAACTCCGAAACAGTCAAAAAAACAAGTATATGTTTCTTAAAATTGGACTGCGCTGTATTTTTACTCAAGATTTCAGATTCGTTTCAAGGAGTACGTTCAATAATTTTCGTAAACTCTCTTACATGCAGAAACGAAGCATATAGAGAAGAGATCAAATTACGATTTTTTGTAAAGTGTATTCTGAGAAAAAATATTTGGAGATATAAATAAATTATGTGTAGACTTAAGAATTATGTGTAAAATATAAATGTACCAGATTCTAAAATCATGCGAAAGAAGTTATATAACTGCAGTATTCCTTGCGTTTAATTCGGAAGCTTACAGAGCATTTAAATCGGTATACTTATACTTCAAGTGGGATTATAATTATTATAAATTACTCTGGACATCTCTTTTGTACATAAATCATTAAAACAAAGCTATTTTGAAGAATATTTGAGGAAAATATATATTTGTGGAACAATTCCACGATTTGGATAAAAACTCAAATATATGTTGTTAAAGTCCCCTAACTGCACAATCTAAATTGCACAATTATTATTTTCATTTGATAATAAAAGAGAATAATGCTTTTAAATTAAGAATAGGAGTGGTTTGAATAGGTCTGTAAAGTATCTTCATAACGTTAATTTGCATTTGCAATTTTTACCTGTGGATAAATTAATGCAAATATTCTGAAGAAGAGAGATCCATATGCAGATAGATTTATGCATATTATTTCTAGACAGCACATTTTTACCAACTACGGAAAAAACTAAATATATGTATTAAAATGTTTCCAAAACAATTTATAATTTTGGAAATATCTTTCTTGCTCAAATGCTTGAAAGGGAAATTTTCTTTTTAACATCTAAATATAAATAAATGTTTACAAGAAAAAAAAAAAAAAAAAAGAGATACATTAAAAAAAATGAAAGGGCAAAGGTTGAAGTGTCTGATAAAATTTATTTGAACGTTAATTTTAGCTAGTTTTGATCAATTTTATAGTTTAGTTTTACTTATTTAACGAAGAACTGACACAAATATTGTCGTCATAACACACAGAAATATTTTGAAATAAGAATATATTTTCCGAGATCATGCACTGTAAGTGAAGAATTAAAAACTTAAGCTGCTGTACGGCTGGGAATATGTATAAATATAGAACAGAATACATTTCTGATTCTTAATGTGGTGAAAAATTTCAGTAAAAGAAAGTAAATTTACTCCTTCAGAAAAAAATATGCACACATGTTTGTCCTAGGTGGTACCGTATATAAAATGGCACCTACCTTTGGCGTAGAGTACCAGCAAGAAGAGAGAATACGAAGACCAGCACATGTCAGTCTCGCGCGAAGTATTCCGACCAAGAAGCTATGGGAAAGATGAAAAGAGCCAAAACACCAGTCGCAGCCAACGAGAGCTTCTGGCTCTCTACTGAGAACTAACTCTCTCTTTGCTGACGATATCGGCGCCGCTGCCCGTCGCGCCCCTACCGGTCCTCTAAAAACTTACGGCGAGCTTTCCCACATAGTTCTCCCAATATGTTGCCAAACTATACCGGAGATGCGGGGATTTTGAATGAGCGTTCTTTGAACAGCAAATCGTGACTAAACGTTGTTTCCTTGCATTTTGAATCCATTTCCAAAACGTGACGGAGAAGCGTCCGTTTTACTGTCCTTCTTCTTCTAGTTCATCTAGAATCTCTATTTTTATTTTACTGCCAGTTAAGATCCGTTTCAATATAAAAATGACATATTTATTGCAAGATATGCTTTGGATTTCTGAAATAAGTGTCTCATAATTTTTTGCTTATTTTGGAATAGGCGATTTCTGTCATCTAAGACTTAGGCATTTCTGCATGATAATTAACAAATATTTTCTATTTATTTTTAAATTAAATTAGAAATTTAAAGGTTATGTACTTTCAATAACATTTTAAATGTTAAATACCTGAGGAAAAGAACTTTTTCCGGTTTAAAATAATGAAAACGTAGTTCAATGTAATAAATAGCAGAAATAAAAATTAAAAGTTCGTTCATTTCAATATCGTTGGAACTTAAGCAAAATAGATAAAGCGCTATTTTTATCATAAGCATCGTAGCAGTTTTGAAAAATGAGCTCGATACATCTAGTGAAGATCAAACATTATGTAATTTGTCTTTTGAGTTCGAATTTAAGAAGTTTATATAATTTTTAGGCACAACGACACTCTGGTTAGCGATGTAGCTTCCAGTGCATTCTTATTCAAGGCGTGGAATACCAGTCCCGAGTCCTACCTCTTTTTTTCAACCTAATATTCTAACTATCACATTAATCATTCTAAATTCTTCTGTGCAATTCTTGTGCCAATTTTAGGTTACTGTTTCCAAGAGTGTCGATGCCTTAACGCGGACATCATCATTTTTCAGAACAAATTGTCTGCAAAATTTTTAAAATGCAAAAATACTCTAAAAATATGTAAAACAATTAACTCTTAAAATGTCTTACAGTTAAAATTTAGGCCAGGAAAACGCAGCCCTCAGTTTAAAGCGCCAGGATATTTCAAAATCTTCTTCTAATCTTGAAGTTAAACCGGATTTCAAAACACGTTGAAACTCTTTTGAATTATAATAGGAATATATAACTTAAAAATCTGTGTTTGAGAATGAAGATTCATTTGGCAGAAATATTACAAGATGGGAGATTATTTAAAACCGTTAAGACGCGATCAAATAAACGAATGTTCAGTTGTTAACATTCGAACGAAGCTTCAGTAAACTAAAAAAATGATTAGTTTCAGAAACAATTTCTCAAGTGTCTATTTATAAATCAACTACTATCTTCAGCGAAGCAACAATCTGGGGAGTTACAACATGCTAGTCTTGCTTTTGCGTTACTGAAAAATTGCTTAGGGTGTTGTTAGGGAAAAACTACAAGAATTGAATAGGAGATGATTATAAGAAAAATGAAAAACATTGAAAGGGAATTATCAATGAAAATTTGTAAAATATACAACGTCTTTTGACATAAAAAAATTACACTCAACAGCATCAGTCTGATGTCATTAATACTGTAAAGATAGCAGTATAGTTAGATAGCTTATAAGATCCCATTTCGCGAGTTGCCAGAAACTACAAAAGAATTTATTTCCTACATCCACATGTATTATATTAACAAAATTGATATTCTAAGGTAAGGATCGCCTTGCAACGTTTTTAAATGTTGGAAAACAGCAGACGTAGCAAATCAATTTTTTTTTTTTTTTTTTTTTTCTCTTTGAAACTCCTAAAAACGTGTTTGAATATCTGTTTAATTCTCATAATAATTGTTGGTTTGATTTGGTTTATTTAATTACGGCAAAGCACACTAGGGCTATTTGGGGGGGGGGGGGGGGGGTGGGGGGGGGGGGGGGGGGGGGGGGGGGGGGGGGGGGGGGGGGGGGGGGGTTTGGGGGGGGGGGGGGGGGGGGGGGGGGGAGGGGGGGGGGAGTGGGGAGGAAAAAAAAAAAAAAAAAAAAAAAAAAACAAACTAAAGTTGGGGGGGGGGGGGGGGGGGGGGGGGGGGGGGGGGGGGGGGGGGGGGGGGGGGGGGGGGGGGGGGGGGGGGGGGTGGGGGGGGGGGGGTGGGGGTTGTTTTTTTTTTTTTTTTGTTTTTTTTTTTAAAATTTTTTTTTTGTTTTTTTTTTACTTTTTTTTTTTTTTTTTTGTTTTTTTTTTTGTTTTTTTTTTTTACTAAGGTGAACTTTCTAAGGGAAACTGGCTCGTATAAACGTTACACATGGGGAAAACCACGAACATACCCATGCAGCCAGCCAGTTCTCGGGATTCGAACCTCGGACCGAAACTACCAGTGTTCAGTGACTTTACCGCTCGGCCGCTTGTGGGCCTCATAATTATTGAATTTCTGTTTATGGAAAACAACACTGTTCAAGAATAACTTTAGTAATTTGGCATAGCTGACGACTACTTCCTACGACGGGCATATAGATTTATAAAAGTTTGTATTATAGCAAATTACGATTGCTAAAAATATTGTATTACATTTAAATAATCTAACTAAAGTTATAATATGGTTGTTTGATTTGATTGCCTATTGCGCGGAAAATTCTTAAGTCCGGTCTACATATAATTTTTGGTCCGTTAGCTTTAGCGTGCCTGCTTTCCCTTTCTTACAGTCATTACTTGTATTACAGACCCCATTTCCTAGCATCACGAATTTAAGTGTCCGAAACAAAATCTAAATATGCTTGTTCAGTTCTTATAGTTAATTTGCCATGGAGCCCTTAAATCTTACAACATCGTTTGTGTCTTTCAAGTGTTGCAAATGTTTTTTTCCAACTCTTGTCACATTTTAATCACATAATGATTTAAAATCCTTATTTAATCTTTTATTGCCTAAATGCTGTTATTATTTAAATAATATTTATACTGTTTGCGTATTGTATTAGTTTGGTGCAAGAAAGTTGTGAAACAAGTGTAATATTTTTATGATTACTGATGATTCATTTTAAACATGTATAAGTAGGGTTGTATGCATAAGCTTTTGAATATTTCTTGTGATAAAAACTGAAATTTGCATTGCTTAATGGCCATTGTTCTAAACGAATTAATCGTCCATTTACACAAAAACATCTCATAGATCCGCCAGGTGTTGTTTGTGTCATCGAGTAACGAAACAAAATAACTTTTGAAAGCTTTATTAAAGAAAAATCATTCTCTTATCACCTTTAGAAATGTTCTTCTCAATAAAAATAATTCTCATACATTGTTTTTTCAAAATATCCCTAGACAAAATAAACGCAAATAAAAGTAGCCTTAGTTCTGGAAAAGTTACTTCAATTATTTTGGCTTTATTGTTACAACGGCTGCTATTATTATTATTATTAGTAGTAGTAGTAGTCGTAGCAGCAGCAGTAATAGGAAAAGAAGAAACTGTTGTAGAGTCATTAGGTTATTTTAAGCAGGAGATGTGAAAAATGAACAATGCCCTCGCCGGGACTCGCACCTGGACCTCTCGAATACACGCCGAGTGTTCTAACCGTTACTCCACCAGGGCATGCTGAAACGAATGAGAACGGATATACACACTGTTTTAAAGAGCAACTGTGGAGTAAGGTACCCAGTCGAGAAATCTCGGGGGTGAAGAATCGTCATCCGCCACTGTAGAGTCATTAGGTTATTTTAAACAGAAGATGTGAAAACTGAGCAATGCTTTCACCAGGACTCGAACCTGGACCTCTCGAATAAGCCCCGAATCTGCTAATCGTTACACCGCGAAGACATGCTGAAAGGAAGGGAAAAGTACCTTAAGAACAAGATCAAGTAGTTACTTCCGTACATAGGTAAGCCAATTCACAATTGTTTGCTGAAGTTGTGAGAGCATAATTATATTTATTCGGTTATAAACATAATTTTTATAGGCAGAAAGGAATCAATGTAAAAACTCATGAGGAGTAAAGGAGTAATGCTTATACGCTATCTGATGTCTGCACATATTGAACATCTATCGTTACACTGACGATATCAGAAAAGCATACGAATGTATAAAACACCACGAAGTCCGTACTCCAATAAGTCCAATAATAATAGTAATATTTAATAATGTTATTGCTTGCCACCGATATGGGCCTTGAGGCACATATGCTGTCCGAGGGTTGCTGGTTGAGTAGCCACTGACTTGGACAAGGAAATGTTTTCAGAAAAACAGAGATAAAACGCAGGTTTCTCAAAATACCTTTTGTTACATAAGTGAGTTTATTTTGGATATTCTGTATGAAATAAATTAAGGAAAATAAAAACAAGATATTTATCATCTATTCCAATTCCTGCTTATCATATTTACATCACTATCAATCACTATCACTATAATTACATCACTAACACTATAATAATGTGATTATTATTGCGTGTTATGGTTTTGTCAAGATCTCCTTGAATAATACGACCAAATAAAAAATAAAAAGGAAGGGGAATGAGTGAAGCAAATGAGAGTTTTTGCAGGTGAAGAAAAGTAGCTAAACATAAAAAAAATTGACATAAAGGGGAGATAATACTCACTTTTCTTGACAGAAGACAAATATCTCTTACAGCTTTTTACTCACATCTTAGCCAAGAAATTGTGAATGGCACTAGTGGAGAGGCATTAAAACGTTTTCTTTTCTTTCGAAATCTTCCAAGGTGTCGTCGAATTAGTGGAAATTAGCCAAATGTCGACAGCTTGGAGGTAAAACTTATGGCCGAAGATCAATAGGCGTTAACAGCTTATATCTTCGACTCTGCCTAAATTAGTTTCATAATTCCAGTGTCAATTAAACAAATTACAAGTTCTAGGAAGTCATAGAAGCAGCAAATTAATGTAAATAAAAAATGGTTCACAATTAATACCGTTACTGATTATATAAAATATAATAAAGTCCTGATCAACTGGAGACC